CACAAATAAATAAATCTTTAAAAAAAAAAATAAATAAGAGAAGACGTGTGAGCTGTACTTCAGGTCAGGAGGCTGGAGGGGTGTCTTTAAGAAGAGATGAGCAAGACTTTTTGGATCTTGCTGAATTACATTTATCTTCATTTGGCAAGGTTGAAAGGAAGTTAACTGGTAAGTTCTGTATCATGAAAGTTCCTTTTTTTCTTTATGTTAATAACTTGAAATGCTTTGATTAATTTTTTTCAGACACAGAGTTAATATCAGCTTTTTATCAAACGTGGACACATTTATTTAACCTTCTGGCCACACTACTAAGGAAGGCTGGGGCCGCCTCCCTCCCGTCCATTACCACGGGGCTGGCCAGGCACTGGACTGCGATGATCGGTAAGAAGAGATGCTCAGTGGGCCTGGTGCTTGGGCTTTCTGCCAAAAAAAACGAAGAGCATCATTTGCAGTTTGTGTGTGTGTGTGTGTGTGTGTGTGTGTCTGTGTGTCCTCAAACATTAAATACTTTCAGCGTGACATATGAGAGAAAGCTTGCTTTGAAGAATTTGCAGTGCTTTTCAGGAACATTAAAAAGGGCATTTTTGAAAAATTGAAACACATTTCAAAACACTGTAAAAACCAAACAGGAAAAACCTGTGGTATTGTGAGGATATATATTTATAATGTGGGTTTATAAAAGAAAAGGGTGGATTTTCTTGTGCTGGTGTGAAGCCGGCCTCTTTCCTGACACGCGCCGTAACTGGATCAGTCTGCGCGGGGAAAGCCCTGCACGGCCAGGAGCGTGGCCGTTCGCATACCAGCTGTGTCTTACCTCAGGGCCCGGGAGTTTCTTAGCGCACAAAATGCCAGAGTATGCGTAGCTAACTACCTGTATAAGGCACATCTTGTATAGAAGCCCTCCTAGAAGATGCAGATGGTTATTTGATTGAATTTAGCATAGCCAGAAGCCTTTTGAATAAAAATATGTATAAGTACCATTAACATTTCCTTTCTCAACACCCAGTTTCAGTGTGTTCCCAACTGAGTTCTTTTTTAAGTATCCCAGTTACCCACTAGTTCAGTTCCCTTGTATTCCTCACGGTTTGTGCCATCACTTAGTCATTCTTTAACTTTGGGTGTCTGGATCGTTCTGTCACCAGACGGGCAGCTTTGTGCAGGACTGATGGGGAAACGGGTGCCGCCGGTGACAGAGGCGCGAGGGTGCCTGGCTGGCCTCTGCAGACCAGCGAGGAGCCCCAGGGATAGCATGCCCGGCGGTGGCACCCCCCCACCGAGTGGG